CTAAATTCTGCTCAGATACTCTCGCAATTTAGATTTTTTTTAATAACAGGAAATATTTTCCTCCTTAGATAAAGAATAAATAAATCTTTTACTTTTTCTCGTATTTTATATTTAATGGTATTAGCTGTTTTTAAATGATTAAAATAAAAAATATTGTTATCTATTAAGATGATTGCAATAAAGAAAACATTTATTGCAACACAGCACAACATGTGTTATGGATTATTTATAGTAATAGTCTTTATGATTAACAGAAATAAAATGACCTAAAAAACCAACCTGCTGCTGTTGGGCAGCTTTCTCCCGTCCTCATCCACCCAGCTCAGGCCGAACACGCTCTTTGAGTATGACTTGCAGCTCCCTGCGTCATAATAAGTGAAGAAGATGCAGGTCAGGGAGAGGATTCCTCCAGGCTGGAGGTCGGTGAAGGTGGAGAAAGACGAGATTGTGAGGAGGGAGAGGTAAACGTCAGTGACAGGCTGGTCGTTCCTCAGGCAGACGTAGGATCCAGCGTCCCGCACCCTGAGGCTGCGGAGGCTGATGGAGCAGTTGGATGTGAAAGTCATACGGCCGGATTTGTCTGAATCGGCCGTCACCTTCCCATTGACGACTTCATGGACGAACCGCACGTCCGTGCCTTTGTTAAAGAAGGTCCAGGAGATGGCGGAGCAGTCTGAGGACACCATGCATGGAAGAAGAGCGTCTCCTCCAACTGTGCTGTACACAAACACGTCCTTTTTGCACCTCGCACCTGTCAACAAGAGATTTTTTATTTAAACAAATCTGATAAAACCTTCATGAAAGACATGAAAGATCTAAAAGGAGCAATTTAGTATGCAGTAATATTCAAACATCTGTGCTCTTTAATATTTTCTTACAGCACAGTCCAACTTTGTAGTCTGTAACTTTCATTTTAAGGAAAAAAAGCAGTTTAAAGAAAGACTTTCCTGCTTGTGCTGTTTGCACATTTTTAAGACTTAAAGACTAAAAGGACAGAGAACTCCCTGCATGAGGCCAAATTGCATACCAACGATTTCCCCCTGTGTCTATAATCACCTTTATACAGGCAGCCGCCCTGTTGGATGTATTTGAAATGAGAGATTTAAAAAAAAATTATATGACAAA